CGGGCGCGCTCATATAGGGCGCAGCCGGCGGAACGTGGGTTGCTGTGCCTGGGCAGAGCTTGGGAGGCAGGCGGCGAGATGAGCCGGGCGCCAGCGTTCCTGAGCGCGGCCGATGTCCAGGACCACCTCCGCAGCTCCAGCCTCCTCATCCCGCCTCTGGAGACGGCCCTGGCCAACTTCTCCAGCGGCCCCGACGGAGGGGTCATGCAGCCCGTGCGCACCGTGGTGCCGGTGGCCAAGCACAGGGGGTGAGTGAGTGAGGGAGGCCGAGGCCGAGGCCGAGGCCAGGGGCAGGAGAAAGTGGAAAGGAGGACTGAGAGGGGGATCCGAAGAGGAAGTGGTGGGAGAAGGGAAGGGGACTCGCTGAATCATTGCTCATTGCTGACAGCTGCCACTTAATAGGCGCTGCTCACTGCACTAAGTGGGCGCTTTACAGGTGTTAGCTTGTTTCATTGAACCCACTCTTCTCCGCAGAGATAGATGCTGACGCTATGGTACTGGTGAAAAACTGACTCAGAGAGGTTAAGTGACTTTCCCAAGCTTACACAGCTAATATAAGTGACGGAGCTGGGGGGTGGTTTTCTGATCCAGAGCCAGACTCTTGCACATACTCTGCATACCAAGGGGAGGACAGAGGAATGTGGAACCAGAGAGGGTCAGCGGGGCAGTGACAGAAGAAAGAGGAAGGAAGGTACGTGGGGACTTCACTGGAGTATTGATTAGAAGACGTTGTAGCTGCTCCCTCTTTCTTTGTAGCTTCCTGGGGGTCATGCCCGCCTACAGTGCCGCAGAAGATGCCCTGACCACCAAATTGGTCACCTTCTACGAGGGCCACAGCACCGCCTCCACCACCCCCTCCCACCAGGCTACTGTGCTACTCTTTGAGCCGAGCAATGGCACCCTGCTGGCGGTGAGCAACTCCATATCCTAGGGTGGAGTGGGGCCCTTGGACCCGGAGCAAGACTCAAGCTAGTTCTCCATGAGCAGGGGTGTCTTGATTGTTACCACATGTGCCCCTTATAATTGACTGACTAAATACCAGTAACAGTGAAGGCTGTCTGTGATCACGTATCTGTTTCTAGGACTGCCTGAGATGCCTAATGCAGCACTGGCGCCCACTGCTGCTTCAGGCATAGGATAGTGTAGAAATATCTCATCATTCTTGCATATGTCTATTCTTGCATACTCAGTTACCCCCAGCCTGCAGCTTAAACTAACCCAGTAGCTAAGGGAACACTTATTTACTGAATGCTTGTCAACATGGAAGAGAAAGGGTGTTCTGTAATCTCTGGGAGTCTTTTCTGAGGCTGAGGGGTACACAATGACCTGTTTTAACATCTAATCTTAGTCACTTACATTTACTGAGCACTTTTTATGTCAGGCACTATTCTAAACACTTCATGTATATTAACCCTCTTAATACTTAAAACCACTCTGAAGTAGGTAATAGTATTACTCCCACTTTACGAATGAAGAAACTGAGTCATAGAGCAACTATGCCCAACTTACCCAGGTTTCTGTAGCTAATAAGTAGTACGTCTGGACTTCAAAGCTGCTTGAGGTCCATGGCCTGTATTATGCTCCAAGACCGTGCTCCACCTTTTTAACTGCCACTTATTGAGTGCTTATTATGTACCAAGCAAGAGATACTGATCACATTCAGATTTGACAATTTCCTCAGTGGGACTTACCACCTCCCCCGAATTTTTGTTGAGGTCCCTGAGGCTCAGGTTAGTGGAGCCACTTTGCTTGAGGTCACCTAGCTGGTTAGTGAAAGGCCCAGATCACTCCTAGGTCTGTCTGTGAATGCTCGTGGTCTGTATGCTTCAAGCTGGCTCTAAAAATCATCCTTCCCCTGAATTACTGACTCCCCAAGGAACCTGGCTATTCATTACTTCTCTGAGATGAGTATCTGGCTCTTCCCATCTTGTAATCGTCCAAAGGAGATGGCATTCATACTACCTCCTAACAGTGGTTCCCCAGGAAAGTAGGACTTGGCCTTCTGAAACTAGGTGACAGCTGAGTCTGCTCAGCAGCTAGGTGATTTAAGTTCCTCATCTGTGAAATGAGAATACTGTCGCCTACCTTTTGAGAGACAACTGAAATGAATAAGTTATAAATAAAGAACACTGCAAAGGGTGGTTGTAATCAGCCAGGCATAAAATTGTTAACCCTCAGTGTGCATCAAAATCACCTGGGAGCTTTTGAAAACAAGGGTGTTTGGCTCCCACACCTAGAGATTCAGATTAAGCTAATTTATGGGTGGTTGATATCTGGACATCTGTACCTTCACAAAGCTTCCCACATGTGCAGAAAGAGGTGAGAATCACTGAGGGAGAATTGCACGGCCCTTGTCCAGATGTTAAATGACAATCTTATCCCTTAAGTCCCCTCTTAATATAGTGTTTTGAGAATTTCAGAACAAGAAAAGAAAATGGGCAATTCCTAAGGGCTCGCCTTGTGCTAGATGTCTCCAGATATGCCATTGCATTTACTCTTCACAATAACCCTCTGAATTGTTGGCATTATCTTTATTTTTACAGATGAGGAAGCCAGCATTTAGAGATTAAAATGAGTATTCAATGTTGTATGTCTCTTAAGTGGAGGAATTGGATCCAGGTCTGACACCAAGCCCATGATCACAATGTGAGACTGTAAAACTTCCGAGTGCGGCTCTTTTAGAGCTGTTCCTCCCAGTTTAAGTGGTGAATGGGGTAACTTCTGCTCACTGTCTCTCCTTTCCTCCAAGGTCATGGACGGTAATGTCATAACTGCAAAGAGAACAGCTGCAGTATCTGCCATTGCCACCAAGGTAAGATTAATGGTTGCCTATACTATTGAGGTGAGCTGGTAGTGGGGTTGAGTCTCTCTATCTTGAGAAGACTAAGGGAGAAGCTTATTTGGGGAGCTTGCATTGGACAGAACTAGAACTCTGTATACCAGATACTATCAGGTGAGCACAATAACTTACAAAATTACTAGCTACCATTTAATGTGTATGACCAGGTACCTAATTCTCGATCTTTGAATCAGCCTTGCAAATTAGATATGATTATCTCCATTTGCCAGGTATAGTAATCATGGCTCAGAGAGATTATGTGAGCTGCCCAGGATAACACAGCTAATAAATGATAGAGCAAACAGTTTAAACTTGGCCACTCCCACTTCTAGCACTGGCTTCTTGTCCCTGTACCATACTGCTCTTGGTAAGACAGTATAGTTGCCCCCCATGGGCCAGAGCTAGTATTGCATGACAGGCAGAAGCAAACTGAACAGATCCAAGATGTATTAATTTGACTAGCATTGACTGAGTTCCTATCATGTGTCAGGCACTGTCCTAAATGTTGGGAATACAGCAATGAATAAAACAGAATGGCATACATGGGAGAGGTGGACAATAAGATAAAAAGTGAAACAGTGTGATTTGCTTTAAAAAAAAAAAAAACCCAACAAACTCCTTTGAGCGTAATAAGGTGCTAAATAACAATGAGTAATATTGATACATATGTAATTAGTTATTACATGATTATTAACAATGTATTTAGAGTTTGCTTAAAAAATAAAGTCAACAAAAAAACACGTAGTATGTCAGAAATGAAACTATGAGAGGGTGTGGTATTTTGAATTATCCAGGAAAGACATCACTGAGATGACATTTGAGTAAAGATTGAAAGTAAGCCACGCTCGGTGGTTCAGCCTGTAATTCCGTGCCTTTGGGAGGCTGAGGTGAGTGGATTGCCTGAGCCCGCGGGTTCGAGACCCGCCTGGGCAGCGAGACCTCATCTCTACAATAAATTTTTAAAAAATCAGCCGGGCATGGTAGCGCATGCCTGTAATTCTGGCTACTTGGAAGGCTGAGGCGGAAGGATCACCGGAGCCCAGCAGGTCGAGGCTGCGGTGGCCGGAAGTCGCCACTGCACTCCAGTCTGGGTGACAGAGTGAGACTCCAACTCAAAAAAAAAAAAAAAAGATTGAAAGCAAAGCTGGGTTCAGTGGCTCAGCCTGTAATCCCAGTGCTTTGGGAGGCCGAGGTGAGTGGATTGCCTGAGCTCGCGGGTTCATAACCCGCCTGGGCAACTTGGCGAGACCTCATCTCTACAATAAATCAAAAATTAGTCAGGTGTGGTAGTATGTGCCTGTAGTTCCAGCTACTTGGAAGGCTGAGGTGGAAGGATCGCTGGAGCCCAGCAAGTCGATGCTGCGGTGGCCAGGAGCGGCCACTGCACTCCAGTCTGGGTGACAGAGTGAGACTCCAACTCAAAAAAAAAAAAAAGTTTGACATCAGTGAGAGAGTGAATCGCACAAAAATGTGGAGTAGCACTCCAGGCAGGAGGAACACCAAGTGATGGAGTGATGATGTCCCTAAACAATGTATCCTACGAGAAAAACAGTATTTTTAGAGGTTAAGAGTTAAGAAGAGGAGACTTAGAAAACAGGGTGTTCGTGGGAACAGCTGGAGTCTGGAATCTTTTCAGGTCAAATGGAGAACAAGGTCTTGGGACATTGATTTTCCAAAGCATAAGAGAAATATGGAAACCCGGGAAAAGTGTGGTGCAGCAGAGGTCAGATGCTCAGATTATACATTAAAATTTTCTAGATATATGATGGGGGAAAGAATGTAAGGATTAATCTGGTAATTGTATATCAGGGGAGTAGACTATGGTACCCACCTTGATGAACTGGTTTTTAATTATATCCTACCCAACTCAGATCAAAATAATCAAAGGACTCCTTGCTATGTTTGCTGGCAGTTTAGAAATAGAATGAGTCTTTTGTTACTGCCTGTCATTTGTAAAGGACTTTGGTCTTTTTCAAAATGATTTCCAACCTGTTGTCAGGATTTTGCGTTTCTGTGAGGAAAGCAGAGCAAGTATTACTGGCCTCATTTTTGCAGAAGGAAATGGAAACTAGAGTTTCTTGAAGTCATACAACCAGGTACCTATGGGTTCTTTTGGGGCTGCATGGTCTATGGGCTATTTCAATAAGAATCAAAAGGCCTAATTTACTTTTTACCTTGTTGAAGTATAATTTTTTTTTTTTTTTTTGGTCCACCACATCTCTTCCACTTAGGATTTTTGGGGGGGAAGGATGAAAAGTATAGAAAGGGCTGGGCGTAGTTGTTCAAGCCTATAATCCCAGCACTTTGGGAGGCCAAAGTAAGAGGATTGCCTGAGCCCACGGGTTCCAGACCAGCCTGGGCAACATGATGAGACCTCGTCTCTACAATAAATCAAAAAATTAACTGGGCATCGTAACACGCACTAGTAATTCTGGCTACTTGGAAGGCTGAGGCGGAAGGATCGCCCGAGCCCAGCAGGTCAAGGCTGCAGGGGCTGGGAGCGTGCCACTGTACTCTAGCCTAGGTGACAGACTTCAACTCAAAAAAAAAAAAGCCAGGCTCGGTGGCTCAGCCTGTAATCCCGCACCTTTGGGAGGCTGAGGTGAGTGAATAGCCTGAGCCCACGGGTTCGAGACCCGCCTGGGCAACTTGGCGAGACCTCATCTCTACAGTACATCAAAAAATTAGCCGGGCGTGGTAGTGCGCGCCTGTGGTTCCAGCTACTTGGAAGGCTGGGGCGGAAGGATCGCCAGAGCCCAGCAGGTTGAGGCTGCGGTGGCCAGGAGCAGCCACTGCACTCCAGTCTGGGTGACAGAGTGAGATTCCAACTCAAAAAAAAAAAAAAAAATTTTAGAAAGTGCTAGGATCTGGTGGACGCAATAACTTCTTTGAGTTTTACATAACCTTAGTTGAGGACTCTGACATGTTTTCTCAAGTAGACAATATATAATAAGATTTATCCCTGATATACATTTACTCAACAAATATTTGAGTATCCACCAGGTCTCAGGCCCTTTGTTCAGCATGGGGCAAAGAACATTGAGCAAACCCAGATATAGTGCCTGCCATCATGGAGTGCAGGATCTTGGGGGCGAGACAAGATAGTAATCCAAAGATCATACCAATAAATTTAAAAACTACAACCCTGACAAGTGCTATGATCATGTAAGATGGGGGATCTTGATCTAGTCTGTGGAATTTGGGAAAACTTTGCTTCTGTAAAGGATATTTGTGCTGTGATTTGAAGAACAGTAGGAGTTTTTTGGGAGGAGAATAAGGAAGGAATATTCTAGACAGAGGAAAGAACATGTGCAAAGACCCTGTAGTAAAAGAAGCACATGTGCTTGGGAAACTGCAAGGAGGGCAAGTGTGGTTGGAGGACAAGAATTACAGGGGAACATGGCATGAGAGGGGGCTGAACAGGTGGGAGGGCCAGACCCTTCAAGGCCTTGACAAATGCAAATGAAACAGACTTTCAAACTCTTGTTTAAATAAGAAACCCTAGCAGATTGATATACATGTTCTTAATTACCTGCAAGCTTATAGAAAAAGACTAAAGTGCCACTAATCCTATTATGACTTAATAAATCTTATAAATACTTATACCATTTAAGAAAGGAGGTGTTAGCCAGGCTTGGTGGCTCAGCCTGTAATCCTGCGCCTTTGGGAGGCTGAGGTGAGTGGATTGCCTGAGCCCACGGGTTCGAGACCCGCCTGGGCAGCAAGACCTCATCTCTACAATAAATCAAAAAAAAAATCAGCCAGGCACATGCCTGTAATTCCGGCTACTCGGAAGACTGAGGCAGAAGAATCGCCGGAATCCAGCAGGTCGAGTCTACAGTGGCTGGGAGCGGCCGCTGCACTCCAGTCTGGGCGACAGAGTGAGACTCCAACTCAAAAAAAAAGAAAGGAGGTGTTAATTTTAACATTCTTACCAGAGCAACAAATTATCAAGTAAGGCAACCAATCAGCACAGTAAATTTAGTTTAGGAGACTGAAGGTTGGAAAGACTCTGTGACAATTTCTAAAGCTCAAATACACTTCCAAGAATAGATTCGTATTACTTGAGAACAGAAAAAAAAATGGTAACAGTTGAGGAAAACTCACCTAATTCTCTTTATTAGACAGGAGCATAAAATTGCTAGTCTTACGGATATTGTCATTTAGAAAATGTTTCAAATCAGGGTCTTTGAACTATGTTGTGCTATATTTTATGGCACAGAATATAGCTGCAGGACATATGATTAACTTGTAATATTTCAGAGATGACTTTCTGCTAGTAATTAATAAAGAAGAAGTTTTACATAAGACTTGTCATTTTTGCACTCCAGAACTTCAGTAAGTAGCACTGTGAAAAAGAACATGTCTAAGGAACTCAAATTTTACTAAATGAGGTAGAGAAAAGGCAGAAGAAAGGGTCTTATTTAAGACATATGGTCTGGGGCAAAGTGATATCTTTTCTCTATGCCAGTAGTTCTCAACTGAGCATGATTTTGTCACCTGCCCCAGAGACATTTAGCAATGTCTGGAGACATTTTTGGTTGCCACAACTTGGGGACAGGGGGAGGCATTTCTACCTTCAAATGGCCAGAGATCATGGATGCTGTTAAATATCTTGTAATGCATAGGACATCCCCTTTCCCCAACAAAGAATTATCTAGCCCAAATGCCAGTAGTACCAAGGTTGATAAACCCAGCTCTACTTCTTGTCGGTCATAGTAGGTATGTACCAATTCTGTGCAAACAAAACTGCCTCTGCTTTTGTGAGGCTTCAAGACCAGCATAGGAAAATAAATCTATAAATAAATAAGTGCTATGGCATGGTACATTCTATCAAGAGGGTCAGAGAGGCTTTATTGGAAAGGTGACATCATAAGAGTTGATCACAGAATCGTGCTGTTAAACACAGACATACACACACCCTTGGGAGCCACAGATACCAGCTCTACATTCATCTTTAAAGGAAGACAGAGGCTGTGAAAGGATGAATAAACAGTAGGCCCAGCAAATATAGCTGAGAATCCTGGGAAGCAAAGGCTCATGGATTCCAGGTAGCTTTTAGAAGCAGCTCAGGGCTCTGAGAAGTGAATGTGGCTCGACACATATCTGAGATGGGGTGGAACAGAAGAAAGAAAAGGGGCTTTGGAATATGGAAGATGTGGTTTTTGGAGCCCCTCTGTGCCCTTTGTTGAATTGTTGAAGGAACCTGAGCAAGTGACTTAAGGTCTCTGAACCTGTCACCTCATCGGTAAGAGGAAAATAACAAGAGGAGTCATAGGCTGTTGTTTAGACTTAACATGAGATCATGAGGTTAAAGCATTGGTTTCAATGAAGGCTACTTCCTTCCCTGCCCACTCTACAAAATAAGGAAACTGAACCACAAAATGAAATCTTGATGGTAATAGAGAACTGACTTGATAAGGCAGAAGTCACTTGACGTTCAAACCATATTTGTTTTTAACCTGGCTGCTAGCGTCTCCCTCAACCTTTTCTACCTCATTTCTCTCTCTCAGTTTTTGAAACCTCCCCACAGTGAAGTGCTGTGCATCCTTGGGGCTGGGGTCCAGGCCTACAGCCATTATGAAGTCTTCACAGAGCAGTTTTCCTTTAAGGAGGTAAGTCCAGCGATGGGGTCAGGAGAGAAGGGAGAGACTGGTGACCTCTGTGTACACTCCTTCACTGCCACACAGGCTGTTCTGAATTAATTAGACAAAGTCTGATCCAGACCATCCTTTTACATTAGTGACTCCCCCAGAAGCCCTGATGGACATAAAGAGTCAGGGGAAGATCCGATCACCTCTTCAAGTTTCTCAGTTTACAGGGCACAGGCCTGAGGGTGCAGCAAGCCCACTCAACTAAAGAATTCAGTTATATCCATTATATGCATTTATATATCCTCCTAGCCCTTCTCTGTGATTTTCTTAGGAAAATCTGGGCATTTTTAAGTATTCAAGGTAATGGATCAAGGACCTGGGGATGAGGCCACAGCAGCCTCCTTTTGCTGTCTACACACTGGTCTAGCTTTCCCCTATTGTTGCTCACACTTCCCACTGCAAGGGTCTGATGTTTTTATTTTATTTTATGTCTGTGTATGAGAGGAGTTGAATAGATTTAAGGTATGATTTTTATGATAAAAATAATACCTCTGCTTTAGGAAATATAGACTATAAGGGATAAAACAAGAACCTTGTCCTTTTATCTGTTTTCACAGATAGGCGGTTAATATATTCCAGCTTTCCCTCATCAACTTTTGATAACATGGTTTTTTTGTTTTTGTTTTGTTTTGTTTTTTTGAGTTGGAGTCTCACGTTTTCGCCGAGGCTGGAGTGCAGTGGCACACTCACAGCTACCATAGCCTAGACCTGCTAGGCTTAGGCAATCCTTCCACCTCGGCCTTCCAAATAATTGAAACCACAGGCATGCGCCACCACGCCTGGCTAATTTTTTATTTATTGTAGAGATTAGGTCTCACCAAGTTACCCAGACTGGTCTCAAACCTTTGAACTCAGGCAGTCCTTTTGCCTCAGCCTCCCAAAGTGCTGGGATTACAGGCATGAACCATTGCGCCTGGCTATGACATAGTTTTAATCATGTTAGATATGCAGGTTTGCATATCCTGTCTTCTCACTGAATATTCTAACATCATCACTTTTCCAGAGTCTCTAAATTTTGCATATTTGTATAACTTCCTATCAAGAAGGGTGAAATTGAACCAGTCACCTGTAATCTCAGCACTTTGTGAGACTGAGGCAGGAGGATCACTTAAAGTCAGGAGTTTGAGACCAGTCTGGGCAATGTAGCGAGACCCCACCTTTACAAAAAATAAAAGATATATTAGTTGGGTGTGGTGGTGTGCACCTGTAGTCCTAGTTATTTAGGAGACTGAAGCAGGAGAACTGTTTGAGCCTAGGAATTTGAGGCTGCAGTGAGCTATGATTGTGCCACTGTACCCTAGACTGGGTGACAAAGTGAGACACTGTCTCTTAGAAAAAGAAAAAAAGCAGCCGGGCTCTGTGGCTCAGCCTGTAATCCCAGCGCTTTGGGAGGCTGAGGTGAGTGGATTGCCTGAGCCCGCGGGTTTGAGACCCTTCTGGCCAATTTGGTGAGACCTCATCTCTACAATAAATCAAAAAATTAGCCGGGTGTGGCAGCGCTCACCTGTAGTTCCTGCTACTTGGAAGGCTGAGGCGGAAGGATTGCCGGAGCCCAGCAGGTTGAGGCTGCAGGGGGCGGGGGGGGGG